CGAAATATTTCAGTTTATAGCATGTGAAAGCCCTTATTAGATCGACTAGGTGGTGAAGATGTCGAATAGTAATCTGTTTGTAGGTTTCTTTATTACTAATTGATACGGTATACCATGTCAGATATCAATATTTCATTAGAACATATGACACTTAAATTTTTTTTTTTTGGGTTATGATTTTTGTGAGTTTAGTTTCGTAATCTGCGTAGACGAATACTTCCTATACCATAGATGGCAAGTCACAAATTTACATTTAATTGAAAAAAAATTGAAATGCTTTTTTTTAAATTATTTTCTTGTATCCTGGCCTTTGATTATTTAATTTTGCTTTTTTTAATTATTTTGTTGTATCCTGGCCTTTGATTATTTATTTTATTACATGTAATAGTTACCTGCACCACATTTCTAGAGTTATTAGTGCGGTTGTGTTCGTATGGCAATTATTGAAATTTTCTATTCTGATGTCTATAAGTTTTCCATGAATGATGTATATTTTGTTAACTATAAATATGTGTGTGTGAAATTTTCTATTCTGATGTCTTGGTGAAGATGTCGGATAGCAATCTATTTGTAGGTTTCTTCATTACTAATTGATATTGTATGCCATGTCAGATATCAATATTTAATTAAAACATACAATACTTGTGTTTTTTGGGTTATGATTTTTGTGAGGTTTGTTGCGCAACGTGCCTAGACGGATGCTTCATATGCCATTGATGGCAAGTCACAATTTTACATTTTAAGTGAAAAAAAACTTGAAATGCATTTTTTTAAATTATTTTGTTGTATCCTGGCCTTTGATTATTTGTTTTGTTGCATGTAATAGTTACCTGCACGGCATTTCTATCCGACATAAACATGTATATTTTGTTTTGTTTTGTCTATAAGTTTTTGTTGCATTTCATATTTTGTTTTTGTTGCATTTCATATTTGTTTTTGTTGCATGTAATATTTTGTTGTATCCTGGCCTTTGATTTTTTTTAAATTATTTTGTTTTGTTTTGTCTATAAGTTTTCCATGAATCATGTTTATTTTGTTAACTATAAATGTGTGTGTATGAAATTTTCTATTCTGATGTCTTAAGTTTTCCATGAATCATGTATATTTTGTTAACTATAAATGTGTGTTTTGAAAGTTTTTATCCGTGCTTGAGTTCTCTGTGAATTACGTTTGTTTTATTCCATAAAGCAACTATAAATATGTATGTTTTTAAAGTTTTTACATTTTTGTGTTTTCTGTGCCCATTTTTACCTGTCCTTGAAGTAATCATATTGTTTTTCATAAGCGGGAAAAGCTACTCCATAGTTTGACTAATGTGAAGAGTCTTTTTTGCTGCTTATTTATTATGAGCTATTTCACAATTTTTGTTTGTAGTTGATTAGTAGGAGTATTTTCTTATAACTCTTGATTACTAGAGAGAGATGTACATTCAGAGCTGGAAATTTATATCTTGTTTGTTTTGATTCTGATGTATGAACTCAGCTGTGTGTGTGTTGTATGTGTCTTATCCTCTAGGTTAGCTTACTACTTTCATGCCTTCGGATATCTCAATTTCTTTAGATATATTTTCTATTTGGCTAAACGTGTGGTTCTTTCATATGTCCAAAAGAGCAAGCAACTTGTTGCCTCTTTTTCTTGTTCGGTTGTGCATCTTAGTTTCTGTACACATCTTTGTCTTACGTAGTTGTGTGTGTGTCTAAGCATGTCTTAGATGTCTGTTATGATATACGTTAGTTTGCTGTGAACTTGATTGTGATCGTGGCAACTTGTGTTATGCTGTGAACTTGATTGCGATCGTGGCAACTTGTGTTATTGATATAGGCAGATACTGTGGGGTTTTGTGATGAAAATGTTTGGTTGTTTATCCTACTAGTGAAACCGGGTTGTCTTCATGTACTGTATGTAATGTGTTGTCTAGATCATGAAGTACTAATTGTTTGCCGCCCCCTCTCTGCGAAAACACCCTAAAACAAAACAAAACAAGACAAAACAAAAAAAAAGAAGACACACACACACCCCTTTGCTTATTATTACTCGTGCAATATCTGCCTGTCTTAATTGTTTCACTTTACGTGCATCCTATTAGTGTGCGTTTATCGCCCATGTGGCAGTGTGTTTTTTTGCCCGCGGTTGTAGATGTATTTGTTAGTTATTGTGTTGTTCTATTTGAATGCGATTATGGGTTTCCATGCATGCATCTATCTGGACGAAAGTGTGGGAATACATGCACTCGTAGATTCTCACACCATGTACAGGTCTATGTATAAGTGAAATGATATTGATGTTTTCCTTCGCGCATGTGGCAGTGTTTTTTGCCATTGTGTATGTACGAGCTATTTGATGGCGCGACAGCTGTTATATGGCTGTATGAATCACTTTCCTTTTACTATATCCATAAGGAAGCTTTTGTGTTCATTTCCTCTTATAGTGGATTGTATAGGTCTTCATGAGATGTATAAGTGAAATGATATTGTTTTTTTCCTTCGCGCATGTGGTAGTGTTTTTCGCCATTGTGTCTGTACAAGCTATTTTATGGCTATATGAATCACTTTCCTTTTACTAAGCCATAAGGTAGTTTTTGTGTTCATTTCCTCTTATGGTGGATTGGATGTTCCGCCCCCTCTCTGCGAAAACACCCTAAAACAAAACAAAACAAGACAAAACAAAAAAAAAGAAGACACACACACACCCCTTTGCTTATTATTACTCGTGCAATATCTGCCTGTCTTAATTGTTTCACTTTACGTGCATCCTATTAGTGTGCGTTTATCGCCCATGTGGCAGTGTGTTTTTTTGCCCGCGGTTGTAGATGTATTTGTTAGTTATTGTGTTGTTCTATTTGAATGCGATTATGGGTTTCCATGCATGCATCTATCTGGACGAAAGTGTGGGAATACATGCACTCGTAGATTCTCACACCATGTACAGGTCTATGTATAAGTGAAATGATATTGATGTTTTCCTTCGCGCATGTGGCAGTGTTTTTTGCCATTGTGTATGTACGAGCTATTTGATGGCGCGACAGCTGTTATATGGCTGTATGAATCACTTTCCTTTTACTATATCCATAAGGAAGCTTTTGTGTTCATTTCCTCTTATAGTGGATTGTATAGGTCTTCATGAGATGTATAAGTGAAATGATATTGTTTTTTTCCTTCGCGCATGTGGTAGTGTTTTTCGCCATTGTGTCTGTACAAGCTATTTTATGGCTATATGAATCACTTTCCTTTTACTAAGCCATAAGGTAGTTTTTGTGTTCATTTCCTCTTATGGTGGATTGGATGTTTGATAAGTATGAATATGAATATTGAGTGCCCCGCAAGGTACGAGGCGTTCTGATCCAAGCTTGGGCACTTTTTGGGAACATTTTGGTAATTACTACATCTCGTGTGGTTGAAATTTTGCCAGCATAGAGCTATGTTGTGATAGGGTCGTCATTCATGTTAGATGTCAATGTTTTATATTGTTCTAAAGTTGTAATTACTTTATCTCGTGTGGTTGAAATTTTGCCAGCATAGAGCGATGTTGTGATAGTGTCGTTACATATGTTTGATGCCATGTTTTTGATTGTTCTGAAGTAGTAAAATGTATATGGGTTCTAATATGTAGTAGTTGTGCTTAACACTGCCAATGCCGGTCCCAAGCCCGGATGGAAAAATGTGGAGGGAGTACTTACTATGTGTTGCTTCGGTTCTATTGGTTGATTGGCGGGAGTAACGGATTTGAAGCTATTTCCTCTCATGAATATTATGTTCATCTTCACAGCGAAGGAAAAAGGAAAAAAAATCTACTTGCTTCAAATCTAAGTAGTTCCTACTTACATTTAATTATAAGGAACTGTTTTTAACAGATTGATAGTGGTAATATATTTTTAACACATGGTTTGGGGTTTGCAGCTAAAGAAGAGAGGGGAGATGGAAAAATGAACATCCCAACCATATGAATTAACCATATGAATGTTATTTATTTTTATATTTATTAACTTAATTGAAAGATTTAAAATGAATATAAATATGAATAAACCGATTATTTAGGAATAATTTGTTCATTATCAAAAACTAGTCAATTTAATAGACTAATTTAAATTTCTTTTCTAAAAATAGCATGAGACATGTGAGGGATTACGAAAATTTTGCATGTAGTATAACTACAATGATTTTTAGTTGTACTTCAAAATGAAGTTAATGGGCATATTTATGAAAGGATTTCTTCGTATACAAACAATGTGGTATGATCTCTTAGCCAAGCGTTGTTACAAGGATTTTTCTGTTTTTCTTTTATTAATTTGGTTGATATTGAGCTACACCTCATATTACAAAGATATATACACGATTCTCTTTTAAGAGTATCTATGGTATACACGATTCTCTTTTAATAGTATCTATGACTATGATTTGTTTCTATAAATTAGCATTATTGCAAGTATAAATGTGCGTGTAACAGACATTAAAAATTAATATCCTAATTTTAAATAAAAAGGGTTACTTTAATATCCTGAAGTATTATATATATATAACAATATTTGTTTATTGGAAAAAATGTTTCAAGGCCCCCCCAAAAAAAATTGGATGTGGCCCAGCCCCACCAATTATCTGGCTTAGCCTTCAGCCCCAAAAAAATGTGAAAATTGTGGCCCAGACCCAAAAGCCCATACGTATTCATTTAGTGGCTGTATTTTGTTGTTACCTCCCTAAAATGCCCTCATCCCTCTCACTGGAAACCGGCTGAATGGGTTCTCTTCTTCCCTGATCTCTCGTCCAACGCATTTATGTCGAAGCGACGGGGGAAAGCGGGGGAAAAGCGCGGGCTCCCGCCATTTTAAGGTCTGCTTCTCATCCTTTGTTATAAATTGGTAAACTATCTCTCACTCTCTCATTAATGAAATTAGGGTTCTTTTCTTCAACTGTCAACAACCCTTTTGCACCTGAAATCCCCTCAATTACTCCTCCACTCCTCATAATTGCCTTCATAACTGTCCTCATAACTTTCAACCACCCCTAATGGCCGCCAATGACTTGATTTGCATGGTGTTTTTAGGCGAGAATGCCATATTCGTGAAGCTTAGTTCGACAACAAGCTTTTATGAACTCCAATTTGATGTGTCTGAAAGATTGAAAGTACCTAAAGAAGCTTTATCCTTTATATTTAAATCTGAGAGGCACCCCAACCTCAGTTTTTCAGTTGACAACGATGATGATTTGAAGTGCATGTTGGAGCACAATCGAAATATTGGTTGTACGGAGATTCACATGCAAGCTGCTGTTAATGTAGAGTGTTCCACTTCAAGGAAAAATCAGATTAGGGAAATGTAAGTAATTAATGAACTCTTTATAACATTGGGTTTTGTGTGATGTAAACATTGTTATTTTTTTCTTCAACTTTCAACCATCCCTTATGGGCATCAAATCCCTCAATGTAAGTTATTATTGATTTGTAAGTAAACAATGAACTCTGTCAGGAACAGGTCTATGTGTGATGATAAGCCAATTGTGATTTCAGGTTTCGATGCTAACTTGGGAAAAAATAGTTGTCATCTCTGATGGTTAGATGTTAACTCTTCATCTAATAGGTTAATTTTCCAAGAGATATGTTAACATTTACATGAACATGTTAATTGTCGTGGGAACATGGTTAATTTTACACCCAGTTAGTTAACTTTTGTTGTACTATGTTAAGGTTTACGGAAAATGGTTAATTTTACACCCAGTTAGTTAACTTTTGTTGTACTATGTTACCTTTGGTCCTACTGCTGTTAACTTAAATTATCAGAAGATAATATAACATATTGTGCATGATATCTCACTGGTTGATTAATTTATGCAGTAGTGATGCCTCTTTGAATGTAGAATATAGTCGTCCTCCTCCAGGAAATGCATCCAATTCAGAGAGAATCCAAAATGATTTCCCGTCTGGTGAGGTTGTAATGAGAGCTGATGATATTCTCAACAACACTTCCAGCATTCCTCAATGGTGGCACACAACATTAACTGAAAAGGGGCAACAATTTGAGACTGTAAACGAATTGAGACTAGCTTTGCAGTACTATTCCATGGCGAAAAAATTTGACTATGAATTTGTAAAGAACGAACCCAAACGTATCCGAGTATGTTGTCGATATAAGGAGACATATGGATGCCCTTGGATGCTCTTTGCATCTCCTGTTAAGTATGGTAAAAGAATTGAAATCAAAAGGTTTGTGAATGAACACAGTTGTGGACAACATGCTAACAATTCAGGGCAATCACGGGCATCTCGTAAATTCATAGCAGCCCAATTGCGACCGGTATTAAAGGCGCGACCTCAAATCCGACCAATTGATGTGCAAAAGGAGTTCCTCACTCGATATGGATTGAGACTTGAATACAGTAAGATATGGTGGGGCAAAGAAAGAGCGCAGGAGGATATGTATGGTGATAGTTATGAGGCTTATGATCAATTAAGATGGTAAATTTTACAGTTATTTTATTAAGTGTACAAATTTTTATCATAGCCGCTTATAGTACAATTGTTAGTTGTTGATTTATCATGCAATATCTTATCCTTAGATGTTTCATGTTAGTTTTCATTGATATGTTCCAACTGTCATTGTGGAATGTTATGTTTTATGAAAACTTGTGAGCTTTTATGTTAATATATTATCCTAATGTTCCAATGTATTATATATGCTTGAGCAGAAGCTACATTGTTGTACAGGTATGAGCAAAAGGTGAAGGAAACGAATCCAGGAAGCTACATATGCATTGACCAGAATGAAGGAAGGTTCAAAAGACTGTTTATATGTTATGCCGCTTGCATCGTTGGTTTCTTAAATGGGTGTAGACCCCTATTATTTTTGGATGGGACCTTTTTGAAAGACAGATACAAAGGCATGCTCCTGAGCGCCATAGCATACGACGGAGACCAAGGGATATTTCCGCTTGCGTATTGTATATGTGATCAGGAAAATGTTGATAATTGGAGATGGTTCCTTCAAGGCTTGTGGTCCATACTGTATGAAAGGTTAGACCCGTACAATCCTCCCCACCAATTGGTAATTATTTCTGATGCCGACAAGGGGATTCGAGAAGCCGTGAGAGAATATTTCCCTGAAGCAATCCACTCACGATGTGTTCTGCACCTAGTTGAAAATTTTAGAACAAAGCTAAAGGATTTGGGATTGAAAGCAAAGGACACACAAGTTTTGGGGAGTTTGCTCCAATCTGCTTGCTATAAATACACTATAGCGGAATGGAACGACTACATGAAGGAAATTTATGAGATGGCTCCAGTCGCATATGAGATTGTACTCTGTTATTCGCCAGAGAATTGGGCGAATGCATTCTTCCCTGGCATCAGGTAATGCATTCATCTTAGATTATGACGTTTTGCAGTTGATGTTAACTATTCTACATATATGTGAATTTTTCTTTCTATAGGTTTACTTTGTCTGATATATGTTAACTTTCAGCAATATATGTTAACACTGATGTTTTTATGTTAACTTTGAGCAGTAAAGGTTAAGTTTTGTTGTTACGTGTTAATTTTATTACATATTGGATGCCCATCATACTATTAATTATTTTGTGCTTTGCAGATATGGTCATGTAACCTCTAATGTTGCAGAATCCTTTAACAACTGGATACGTGAAGCTCGATTGTTATGTATCCTGCAAATGGTAGAGCATATCCGAAAACAAATTATGAGTCGCCTGAACAATAGACGGATTATGGCTGATAAGTGGACAAGCTATTTGTGCCCTAAAGCTGAGCAGATTGTTAGAGAAAATATGGAAAGATGACGTACTTTAGAGATTAAACAATCAAGAGATGATATATTCGAAGTGCAGTCACATAGAACTACTCACGTTGATTTAGAGAAGAGGACGTGCAATTGCCGAGCTTGGGACGTAACCCGTATTCCTTGTGTGCATGCTTGTGAAGTCATTATTTATATGAAAAGAGACGTATATCAATATTGTGATTGGTTCATGTCCGTAGAAGCGTTTAAGAAGAGCTACGACGAAATATTATATCCCATCCCAGATTATGAGAAGCGGAGTGTGTCCAGGGATGAAATACAGATTTTGCCACCAATTACCACTAAGAGGAGGGGAAGAAATAAAACAAGACGCATAAACAACAGAACCATTTACAAACGGCCAGTCAAATGTTCTCGGTGCAAAGTTGTTGGTTACAATCGAGCAACCTGTAACGAGCCCATCTGCTGACTAGTGTGTTTCTGCTTCTTACATCAATACTTTTGTATAAGACAGCAAAGCTTGTTTTTAAGTGGTTAAGTGTATAGTGGTGGACTTTTGTAATCTGTGATAATGATCGGCTAATCATTTTGTTCATGCTAGTAATATCTAAAAGCAAGGCTGAAAGATGTTTTCAGATTTGTGCTTGTTCATCTTAGATTTTAATAAAAGATTTTGAGTTTAAATTGGCCAAATGTCCAACATCTCATTCACAGTTCTAACGGCTAACTGAAAGTCATATTGTGCTAACAGCTATATTACAACAGCTAGTTTATTGTTCCTTATGCAATATATAATGTGCCCAAAGCAAAGCTAAATTTAAATGTATGTTCTATCTTCCAAACGTTACCAGTTTGAGAGTGTGAGATGAGAACATCAGAGATATCTCAGTCACAAGAAGAGGTATGTTGTTTCTGTCAAATTCCAACACCCATGAGGCAGTGCAAAAGTGGGAAGAATAAAGGAAGATACTTCTGGGGATGTGCAAATTTCCCAAATAGGCAATGCAAGTTTTTTGCTTGGGCTCACCAAGAGAATGCAATGTCCAGTAAGATTATTCCATTTTGTCCAGAAGTCCCCGTTGAAGATGAGATAGCGACCAAAACAAAGAAATTGAAGAAAGCACTGAAGCAATCGAACCGTGAAGTCGAAAAATGGAAACTTTGCTCATTCTTCCTATGTTGTTTTTATATGGTACTAATTTTCTTCAACATTGTGATTTGTAAGATGAAAATCAACTGAAGAAACTTCAGTTTGTTATGCTTTTGCTGTAAGTGGTTAAATATTATGAACTTCAGTTTGTTATGCTTTTGCTGTAAGTGGTTAAATATTATGTGTCAACTTTCACTAAAAGTAGTCAATTTTAGTGACATTTATGTTAATTTCCCAACTGAAAGGGGTGATGTATCAGAGTTATACGTTAACTTCTACTAAAAGTGGTTAATTGTTAGACTTTTACGTTATCGTTTACTGAAAGTGATTATTTATCTCAGTTATACGTGTTTGTTGGAAATTTGTAGCAAAAAGACAATGAAAGAAAATTTGACTTGTATTCTCTCAATAATCGATAACAATTTGGATTCCGATTACAAAAGAGAGGAAAACGAATTTGGTTTTCCCCTTTGTTTAAAACTGGGTTCTTCACGGTGGCGATGAGATGCCTCCCTCGAATGCTCGCGTCGAACTTGCTCTCCGTTGACGATCCGACCGTCCTTCTTCACTGGAACGATGTCATCTTCTCACGATTTGACGCTGTGGAGAACTTGCGTGGCAAGTTTTGAAATAACTCTTGACGAGTTGATAAACTCAGAGTGAGTTGCGGCAACATGCTTTTGTATGAAAGAGGTGTATAGATGTGGAAAATCTGGGGTGACTGCATAAAGACTATGCTGTATTGCCAAAAAATTATGATAAGCCAATTGTAAACATGAGATAAAAATGGTAGGAGATTGAATTGGGTGCTTACGCAGAAGAAAGTCGATACAACCCCATATTGGTTGCCCATGGACTCCACATCTGGCCTCTCTAGATATGTGACGAGCCTATCCACAAGAGCTTCCATCACCTGTAAATTTACCATGGAGCAGATACAAATTAAATTACCCAGCACCCAGTCATCTCATAAAATGCGTAAGAGATTAACATATCAAACTTGCATGGTCATCGATACGGCCGCCACGTAGAAGATTAAGAAGTTCCAATGAATCGACACTACTGTTGAATGTGTTAACAATAACGTGTGACCTGAAACATAACAATAAGATCCAAACCTCGTTCAACCACTTACTATAGAAAAATATGGAAATATTAACATGATTTAGCAAAGGTTAGCATAAATGGGTATAAGTTAACATAAATATGGAAACGTTAACACGTAACGATGAAAGCTAACATTTTATAGCAAACGTTAGCATAAATGGGTAATAATTAACATAAACCTAGAAATGTTAACACGTAACAATGAAAGCTAACATGTCCTAGCATACGTTATTCAGAATGACAAACTTACTGATGGGCTTTTTGATTGCAAAACTCAGAGATCCTTCTGTTCTCATCTGGTGTGAGCTTTGATAATACGTGTTGAGGTACTCTAAAGTTGTGAACGAAGGTTCCTTTACTATCAATCAAACGTATGCTAAAATCATCAATGTTAGGAATATCCTCGTTCAGCAACTTCAAAAGAGCCTCCTCCTTCTTCTTGATTTTCCTCTTCCCCAAAAAATCCCAAGTGCATTCATCAGGCTTACAATAGAACCTGATTTTTTCCCTCTCTTCCTCCTTGTGGTGTGATATGTTAATTATCTCTTGATGAACTTCCTTCTTCTTTTCTTGAGTGAAAGGGGTGCGGACTAGTTGTGAGCGCGTCCGCCTTCTGGTACTTGGTCCCCTAGTCCCCTTTGACGCTAATCTCTTCATTCTCTTCTGATAAACTTGCACCTGTTTTCCATCCTCCATCCTTTCTTCATCTTTCTTCTCCTCAGCACATTCTCCCTCTCTGTTTTCCACCACTTTTTCTTCATCTTTCTTCTTTCCTTTTTCCTCTTCCACTTTCTCCTCCTCCTCTTCCTCTTCCTCTTCCTCTTCCTCATTCTTCTCCTGCTCTCGCTCTTCCTCTTTCTTCTCATCCTCCTTTTTCCTCTTCCTCTCCCATCCTTTCTTCATCTTTCTTCTCCTCAGCACATTCTCCCTCTCTGTTCTCCTCCACTTTTTCTTCATCTTTCTTCTTTCCTTTTTCCTCTTCCTCTTCCATCCTTTCTTCATCTTTCTTCTCCTCAGCACATTCTCCCTCTCTGTTCTCCACCACTATTTCTTCATCTTTCTTCTGATGTTTTTCCTCTTCCACTTTCTCCTCTTCCTCTTCCTCTTCCTCATTCTTCTCCTGCTCTCGCTCTTCCTCTTTCTTCTCATCCACAGTCGCTTCCTCTTTCTTATCCTCCTCACTCTCTACAGCTTTCTCCAAATTATCATCCTCCATCTCTTGCCATTCACCTTTCTCTAACTCCTTCTCTGCTTCCTTGCCAATATTGGTTACCTCGTCATAATCGAAGCAAATTCCATCATCACCCCTGTCCTCAGAATCAATACTCCTCCTTATTTTCTTTTGTGCAGACCCTGTATGCCCCTCTTTCTGTGACATAATCCCCTTCACATTCTTCTTCAGGTCTTCGGGGTCAATCAAGTCAGCGGTCCCTTCATAACCCTCCAATTTCTTGTTCAGCCTATGTATCTCCTTAGAGCATTCCTCCCATTGAAGGCGCTTACTACGCTTGACAGTGTGGAGCAGTTTCCAATTAATTTTGGCCGTATTCCGCCAAAACTGAATTTGATCTTCGGTTGTCAACTTCTCTATTTCATCTTCACTCTCAAAAGCATCTCTAATATGCTGGGCCAAAATCTGAAAAGTAAACCATATACCCATTACCCATATGTATCCACAATATTAAAAAAATAGTTATGATAATCCACAATGTAATTTTCTTACCCAAAACATGTTAACATGAAACAATGAGTACATGGAAAATTAACTAATGATAAAGATAGAAAATTTAACTCAATTGGTAATATGCAAGAATGTGTAAAGAGTCATTGATGCTTACGTAACCTACGGATGAGCTCCTTGTCCTGCCCTTCACCTTATCTTGCTTCCCATCCTTTACCTTTTCTTCCTCATTCTTCTTTCTCACCCTAGTTTGCTCCATAACCTTACTCCTATATGAGACAATTGGGCTTCTTTTTTTCCCAAAGCGAGCGATTTCAATCTTCTTCCTGCTAGGCTCCCGTTGAGGGTATTTTTCACCTTGAGGGTATTTTTCACCCCATTCAATGCTGGTCGTAATTGGTCTCTCCATGATTTTAATGCTTGCTTTCTTGGCCTTAGAGACAATTGTCTCCATCCTCAACGATCCAGC